GTATCCAATATCTTACTTCAGGAGATCATCCCTTGACTGAGGGTCCCCGCCTCCCTCCAATCAGATAATGGTTCTGAACTTACATCACAAGAAAGTCAACTACTGAGTAAAGCACTCAACATCCCCTGGCATTTCCATATCCGCTATCAGCCCCAGTCCTCAAGAAAGGTACACTAAAAAATACCCTAACCAAACTCGCCCTTGAGCTTCACCTAGACGGGGCTAAACTACTTCTACTAGCTCTGCTCCATATAAGGGCCCTTCCAAAAAGGGCTCTCAACCTTTAACCTTTTGAACTAATGTATATGGACATCCCCTAGTTCCTCCAGCCATACACCTGCAATCCCCACTCTTGCTGCCCCATCTACACTCACCACAACTCAGATATATCCAAGCAGAGTTACAAATACCAACTGCCATGCTCCAAGTTCAACTACTTCAGACAGGTTCCCTCCTATTACAGTGAGAGACAATGTCTTACTGTCTTCTTCACACCCCTCTTTGCCCCCTACTCCCACCAAGCTACAGGCCAAATGGACTGGCTCTTACTGGGTTATTCTCACTACTCCTACTGCAGCAAAGCTACAAGGGAGGCCTTATTGGGTCCACTTTTCTTAACTTAAGCACCCTCCCTCCCCGTTGCCATTATACAGTTACTCCCACAGGGCCACTCACAGCCAAGCTTACTTCTGCCCTTGAGGAACCCACCTCCGAGAAACGGTGACCAAGCAGCCATTTGCCATTTCTAACACCAGATAAGTACTGATCCTCTCTTATAGCACTACAACTTCTGTGGGAAGAATATCAAACACACTCCTTGCCCATCTACCCCTCTTGGCTCCATTTGGATACTGAAGATTTACACCTCCAAAGAACCTTCTCAGACTTCATTCTCACTGAGATCCACACTTTTCCATATCTGCTCCTACTGCCTCACTCCCTCTTAAATAACCACATTGAATTCCTTGATAATCTCCTCTCTTCTGCTCTTTGTGTCTGTTCTGCATCCACACTGGCACCAGGAACACATTATGTATGGCAATTTTAGATTTACACCGCTTCCACTCCTGCTAAATTACTTAACACTACCTTCTGCCTCATCATGGGCTGTGCAGGCCCTATCACTCTGTATTATGATTTCGCTCAGACCTGCTCACATAATTGTTTTGACTGAACTAGATATACTTTATCTCAACTGGAAACACAACCATACTATCTCTGCCTAACCAAAGATAACACAGGATCATGTAATGATGCTTACTGGAAAGGTTGCTCATCATGGTTCTGTAAGTACTATCATACCAACCACAGTATGGCCTCCTGGGAAAACAACTCTCTAAGGTCTTGACCCCAGCTGAGGCACAAAGATCACAGGAACCAACTCTTCTTGACTTTCACTACAACTAACCCCTACATTCAGGTTTGGAAAAATGGAGTTGAGGGATCTATTACTTTATATATGGACTCCAACACACAAGATCCCCATGAACCATAAAAATTATCAGGGCTTACACTCAGCTCCCAACGGCTCTTATGAACATGGTGGTTGATATAGTAAGGGAGTCCTCTAAATACCTGTCCCAACTAATTAACCTGGTCAACCTCCCTTAACATGGTTATAACTCATCAATCTCTCACCCTACTTTATCAACTACCCAATTCTACTTTACCGTCTGCCCTTTACCAACAACTATGCTTTATATACCTCCTATTGCGGCCGGCTCAGGTTGGTGCTCAGACTCAAGCTGGCATAAACACGTGGACTGGGCGGCCCTTCTCATCTTCCTGCTGTGGCCTGGGGAGGGGAGGGCCTGCTATTTTCTGCAGGGCACAGATCTCGGGGTGGAGAGGACAGACGGAGGGAAAACCAGCCTTAAGGTGTTAGTGTAGCCTGGTGAAATACTGCTGGCGTCTCTGAGGGACTGCCCCGTGCGTCTGGGCACAGACACTGGAATTCCTTGGAGCATGGGGAAAGCTCTGGGGCTCCATGACTGCAGCCAGATCCAGGCCTGAGGCCGCTGACACTTGACACTGGGGCCATTGGTTAGTGAGGAGCAGACTTTGTATCTTGAGCCAAGAAGCAAGACCTGGGGTGGGGGGAGGGGGCAGGGGTGGGAGCCAATACTGAGTGCCTGCAGCATCTACGACTATCTTCACAGCTCAGAACTTGTAACTAAAACATTTAAAGAATCGGATTTTGAATGAAAATTAAAGGGCAAATGTTCTCAAACAAACAAAAAAATATCTCTACAAACTGCTGTATTCACAATCCTCAGAAAGTCGTCCGTCATCTTTCTCTACATTCTGGAGGACAACATGCAACATGCTGGATTACCAACGTAGCAGAGCAACCCAACAAGATTATGCCACATAACATTCCCTATATTATCAATATGACTGCCACTTCCACTGCTTCCTTCTCTAACCCACCTGGAGCCTCATTTCTTTGTAATTACACCATACATACCTGTATTAACAGTTCTATGCCTGGTCCATATGTGTTGGTGATCCTTTCCTCGCACTTAACATTATATGACTACTCAGAGTTCCTTTTACAGACTAATCCCACAACCTGCAAGAGACGAGCAATCTTTCTCCCAGTCTTGGTTGGAATCAGCTTTGCAGCTTCCCTCTTTTCAGTGGTGATCTCGGGAACTGCTCTAGGCCACAGTGTTATCTCTATTAACTGGCTCCCAGAACAATTCCAACAACTACAAGAGAAGGTCACCAGACCCACTGAGACTCCAGCAGATGCCATTTGGGGCCTTCAAAATCAGGATCACCTCACTAGCAAGGGTAGTGCTACAAAACAGGCTAGCTCTGGACCTCATAACAGCTGAAAAACGGGGAACTTGTATCTTTCTGGGAGAACAATGTTGCTATTACATTAATGTTAAAATGCTCCAACAAATTGCCACATCTATTAAGCAATCTGCCTAAGGTCCATTCAAAGAATCCCACCTCTCTCCCTCCCTATGAAGCTCTCTCATCACTTGGTTAATGCTACTACTAGGACCACTGGCTGCTATTCTCACCTTGGCTTTAAACTACCTTGTCTGTTGAAGTGTATATAGGAGTTGATCATGGAACAAACCAAAGCCTTCACCAATCAGGTGGTCAACCAAATGTTACTGCAAGGATAAACTCAACTTCCTACCCCAGAGATCACGGCTTGAGATGCCACCCCATGCCAGCAAGTAGCTTCAGAAGATAGATCATGGTCCCTCCATCCCTCGCAGGCTTTGGGGGCTGGTGTAATCCTATATCATGTTTGCTTTATAGAAAATAAAAGGGGGGACTATTAGTAAAACAAGCGCCATCTTATCTGAGGCACCATCTTAAGTCTTGGGTACCATCTTAGGCTCTGGCCCAGTTGCCATTTCGTACAATAAGTTTTGGTTTCCTAAGTCCAGCCTGATTTACCAGAAATCAGGTGACCTAATGGCCCAACCATATGTGGTGCTTTCGCCCCACCCAATGGGATTTGCTGTTCTTACTTCCTTATCTCTGCTAAACTATATAAGACTTGCCCTCCTAGTGTAGGCTGCTGTTTTCTCCTGTGCACAGAGGCAGCCTTGTCAGCGACAATAAACCATTCCTTTACTCCAGGATTTGGTGTGTTTTGTTGTGGCTTTTCAGTAATCAACCAATTAAAAAATTTGATATCATGCTGGGGGCCAATACTGTGCAGATTCACTGGTCAGTCAGTTTCTTACCTACACAGAAGGGCCTGATTCATGTGAATCTCTAGAAGATGGAGCTCCAGAGAGCTGGAACATATACTATTATCTCTGCCTGGGGAGATGGTGGATCATTAAGTACAAAACATCAGTGAGACTGACTTTGATTTTCATGATCAATGAAACAGGAGAAAAGAGTGACCAGGCATCAGCGTCATAAATACTCTGTGTGGTTAAGGGAATTTAAAAACCAGTATTTCAAAGACTACTCTTAATTTTTTTTTTTTCTGACAATAACAGTGGTAAAGGGAAAAACACTGAAAAATGAAAGAATCTGAATTTTTAAGTTCAAAAGCAGTTCTTCATAGAACCTTTTCTCTGTGAAGGATTTTTTCTTTACAATTTTATATAATTACAAGGAATATTAAAATAAATAAATGAAACATGAAATCTGGCAGAATTTATAGAACCTATCATTTGAAACTATGAAAAGCTCAAGTAAACAAAGTTTACTGTCAGTGTTGTTACAGAACAATGAGACAAAACTGAGCTCTAATGTGTCAGAACTCAAATATACAGGAGCTTGAAAAGAAACCCATGTTGAGGCTGGCATTGTGGCACAGCAACTAAAGGTACACCTTACAGTGCTGGCATCCCACATCATAGTGCCAGTTCAGGACCCTGTTGCCTTGCTTCTGATTCAGCTTCCCGATGATACACCTGAGAAGGCAATGGACAAAGGCCCAAGTGCTTGGGGTCTTGCCACTCACAATGAAGACCACGATGGAGTTCTAGGCTCCTGACTTTTACTTGGCCTAGCCCTAGCTACTGCAGGCATTTGGGAGGTTAATTAGTAGATGAAAAATCTCTAACTTTGTCTCTCAAATAAATAAATAAAACTTTAAAAAAGAGATGCATGTTAAAAGGCTAGTTCCATTTTATATCAGTCATACATTTGAAACCAGAATTCACATTACACTAATTAGAATCCCATGAATGGAACATGATGTGAAGTGCGGTATACTGCCTTCTGTTCAGGAATTCTAAAATCTCATTCAAGCACACTGTAGCACTGACTATGCTGTTCCTTGCTGGGCAAGCTACCTGGAACATAGCGGGTCTTCAGTAATTTACTTGTTTACTGAATGCACAGGGATAGTAAGATAATCATTTCTAATCTCACTGTCTTAAGATAAAAAAGGAAGACCAGTAATTTCCTACTTAATGTAAAAAGACGTTTTGAGTATAATAATGATTAAAATACACTAATAACTACTATAATAATTTTTAAAACATTATCATTCAAATAAACACACTCACTGCAGGGTTCCTGGGGTGTGTTCTCTCTTGACAGGCGTGGAAATTTGTGGTTCTGGTGAGGGAGGAGGCACTGATGGTTTTGCAGCTGGTGGTGGAGGACCTACATCTTTGGGAATTTCAACATTTTTCCAATCTGCTCCTTCTTCAACAATCAAACCAATTAGTGAACCCAGCTTTATGTTTTTAGTTCCTTCTTCAACCTGTATTTCAGAAAGAAAATAGAGGTGGAAAGGCCCCTGACCACATGAAGTAGTTTCTTTCTTTGTTGGGTAATTCTGCACCACTTAGAAAGACCTCTTAATGTGAGCTAAAAGCTGCTTCCAACAAGACTTGCCTTTGCCTTCAACTCACCACCTCCTCCCATTTAAACCTTCCTTCACCAGTCTCCCTCTTCCAGTTACTAGCGTTATCCCTAAGAAAGGAACAAAGCCAATACCTCTCCTCTTTCTGACAACCTTCAAATATTTTAGCTATCAGTACCACCTTCTTTTGGATGTCAATTATTATGTATCCAAAACAGGAGGCTATGGATACATGTCTCAGCCATTTGTCTTCCCTGGACAGTTCCCAAACAATGGCTTCAAAACTCCAGAGCTCAAAGGATGTATCTGCTCCAAATCAGTCTGATCTACTAAAATTAATGTAAAGCAAAATCTTCTCAGTAAATTTAGCTTTTGGAAACAACATTCCATCATACAGATAGAATCAGTAAATTATTCCGGTTAATGTTCAGTATAGTTTCCCACTTTCTCTGCATGTAATTCTTTCCCCAACGATCTAATCGTAAAATCTGAAATATGGTGGTGGCTCAGCTACTCAAACATTTTTTCACAGACAATGCCAATTAAAAATCTAAATAGAATAAAATGACTTTTTAAGTTAAATGTATTGAAGCATTTCAGCAGCATTAATTCATAAAGAAAGAGCTTAATTTACTTATTAAAATCAGTCCCTACAAAATCTTTATATAAAGATATTTTTAAGTTCAAGACTGGAACAAAATGTTATTCTATAAAATCACTATTATTGTATTTCAATTACTTTAGTCAGGCTCATTACAGATGCATTTAATGAATAATAGACTAATAGGCAATTGGATATTCACTAATATGGTAATTATAAGGAAAAAGCGTAACTAGAATGAGTCTGACATTTCAAAGTAACATTAATTTTGACCTTATTAGTGGGTACACTATTCTTATAATAATTAGGCATAAGTTCTTGGGGTTAGGAACCTTTACTAATTACTGATAGAGGACAGGAACAATGCTGTGATGAAGTAAAATATATTCAAGAATTGGGCTCATACAATTAAATAAGGATGTTTAATGTTAATTACAAACTGTGGAAAAATACTACACAATCCAAGAAAATTTTAGCTGCTTAGTTATTTGTCAGATTCTGAAAAGTTCTACTTCTACTGACCTTTTTTCTTTAACCATTTCAAGAAAATGAATTATATTACTGGGCTAACAGATTTTCTTCTTCTAAAAGTGTTTTATTACCCACTTAAGATTTGCTAATTTGGGGCCAGCGCTGTAGTGCAGTAGGTTAATCCTCCACCTGCAGTGCTGGCATCCCATATGGGCACCAGTTCTAGTCCTGGCTGCTCTACTTCCCATCCAGCTCTCTGCTATGGCCTGGGAAAGCAGTAGATGGCCCAGGTCCTTGGCCCCTGCACCCACATGGGAGACCTGGAGGAGGCTCCTGGCTTCAGATCGGTGTAGCTCCAGCTGTTGCGGCCATTTGGGGAGTGAAACAGCAGACAGAGACATTTATTTCTGTCTCTCCCTCTCACTGTCTGTAACTCTACCTCTCAAATAAATAATACATAAAATCTTAAAAAAAGAAATGCTAATTCAAAATTAAACTAAAATGATTAATCTTCTTTAAAAGAAATAGAAAAATGAAACATTAAGTGATATAACGTCTCTGATATTAAACTTCTTTAAAATTGAAGCAGAAATAGGATTAATGTCCAAGTACAAATGACCATCATTCAAATTAAAAATATTCTTTTTAAAAAAGCAAAGTTTTAGTTTTTGAAATATCAATATATTTCTGAAATCTGAGTCAGATACCACAATGAATCTGAAACAGATTCTTCAGCTCATCTCTCTCCTTTTTTTTTTTTTTTTTTTTTACAGGCAGAGTTAGAGAGAGAGAGAGAGAGAGAGAGACAGACAAGACAGACAGACAGAGAGAAAGGTCTTCCTTTTTCCGTTGGTTCACCCCTCAAGTGGCCGCTATGGACAGTGCGCTGCACTGATCCGAAGCCAGGAGCCAGGTGCTTCCTCCTGGTCGCCCATGTGGGTGTAGGGCCCAAGGAACTGGGCCATCCACCACTGCACTCCCGGGCCACAGCAGAGAGCTAGACTGGAAGGGGAGCAACCGGGAAAGAATCCAGTGCCCCAACTGGGACTAGAACCCGGGGTGCCGGCGCCGCAGGCGGAGGATTAGCCTAGTGAGCCACGGTGCCGACCTCAGCTCATCTCTTTTATTATAAACATTAAAAATACTTCCGCACGTATTCTGCCAACATGACACTGACCTTTTAAAAAAAAGATTTATTTTATTTTATTTTATTTGAAAGGCAGTGTTACGGGGTAGGGGCGGAAAGGGAGAGAGAGAAGAGATCTTCCATCTGCTGCTTTGTTCCCCTAAAGGTCGAACAGCAAGGGCTGGGCCAGGCCAAAGCCAGGAGCCTGGAGCTTCTTCTGGGTTTCCCAGATGGGTATCATGGGCCAAGCACTTGGGCCATCTTCTGCTGCTTTCCCAGGCACATTAGCAGAGAGCTGGACTGGAAGTGCAGCAGCCGGCATAAGAACCAGTGCCCATATGGAATGCCAGCATCACAAGTGGCAGATTTACCTGCAACACTACAACACCACAACACCAGCCCTGACACTGACACTTTCCGAAAAGTAGGTGACAATAAATATTTACTATTTTAATTTTTACCATATCCAAATATCAAATGAAAGTTATTTTTAATTACTCCCATTTTTTCCATTTAAAAGTGACACTATGAAGTATGAAATCCAAATACAATGGATAATTTCTAGTAATAAATTGCTATACAACTTTTATAACAGAAGTTAAAGAAAATAGTGTTGATTACAATTACATTTAAAATCATCAAAATCTATATGAACTTCAAATAATTTAACATTTTCTATAGAACTGAGAGTATTATCTAGTCAGAATTTGCTCTGGGCTTTAAGATAACATTTTCTCAATTAAAGATATCAAGATCTCCAAAGAAGAATCAATTGAAAGTTATACAACTTCAAATTTCAACAATAAGCATTCAAGCCATAAAATGCGACTCTGAAGATGAATGTGGTGATTTAATGAAAAATAAGGGTAGGGGCAAGGAAATCTAACAAATAAAACTAATGAGAAAAAATACATACTTTAGAAAAATACCAGTAACACAGAGATACAGCTAAAACACTTAAAAATATGATTAGTACCAAGAAGGGATATTCTTGTTGTTTTTGATTCAGATGATCAATAAAAGGAGTTTTTTTTTTTTTTTTGAAACCGCTTTAATACCCATGGATGTTATCTTATGGAAATATTTGTTTTTTGAAAACTGCTTTAAATAAAGATCTATCAATATAGGGGCCGGCGCTGTGGCGCAGTGGGTTAATGCCCTTGGCCTGAAGCGCCAGCATCCCATAAGGGTGCCGGTTCTAGTCCTGGCTGCGCCACTTCCAATGCAGCTCTCTGTTGTTGCCTGGGAAAGCAGTAGAAGATGGCTCAAGTCCTTGGGCCCCTACACCCGCGTGGGTGATCCGGAGGAGGCTCCTGGCTCCTGGCTTCAGATGGGTGCCTCTCTGGCTGTTGCAGCCAATTGGGGAGTGAACCATCAGATGGAATACCTCTATCTCTATCTCTATCTGCCTCTCCTCTATTTGCGTAACTCTTTCAAATAAATAAAATCTTTAAAAAATATATCAATATAAGAAAAAAAACCAATCAATACATTACATTTCAAAAAATTGTATGTTTGGCCGGCACCATGGCTCACTAAGCTAATCCTCCGTCTGCGGCGCCGGCACCCTGGGTTCTAGTTCTGGTTGGGGTGCCAGATTCTGTCCCAGTTGCTCCTCTTCCAGTCCAGCTCTCTGCTGTGGCCCGGGAGTGCAGTGGAGGATGGCCCAAGTGCTTGGGCCCTGCACCCGCATGGGAGACCAGGAGGAAGCACCTGGCTCCTGGCTTCAGATCAGCACAGCACGCTGGCCGTAGCAGCCATTTGGGGGGTGAACCAACCAAAAAGGAAGACCTTTCTCTCTCTCTCTCTCTCACTGTCTAACTTTGCCTATATATATATATATATATATATATGAAACTCTGCCTATATATATACATATAATTTTGACCAGGAAATAGCTGTGCCACCATAGCTGTTATCTACTATGTCCACCCTTTTTCTGAGCATTGGGAACCAGCTGAATGGGCACTGCAAACCCACTGACATGGCTAGCCATTTAAAATGCATTACGAAGCAACCAAGTGGAAAATGCCATCAATTCTGGAAGATTTTCACAGCTAAACAATCCAGAACAAGGACCAGGAACACAGTCAGCCAATAACAAATGTTGCTCAGTTTTCTATATGTTGTAATTGAAGCAATTTAATTTTGTTTAGAAATGTTGCATAAATTAGTCAGATAGAATATTCTTGGCATGAATATCTACATTTTCCAAGTTATAAAGGTACAGAAATATGATTCCCATTTTCTCCAAGAAAGTATATTTATGACAGTGTGTTTGAACCTGGATACTGATATCACAGATAACAAGTAAAGGAAGTCAGAATGTCAAAAATAAAACATAAGTGGCATTAGAAAGGTAAGAGAAAGATTTTCTATGGGCCAGCATCATGATGTAGTGGGTGCAGGGCCCAAGCACTTGGGCCATCCTCCACTGTACTCCCGGGCCACAGCAGAGAGCTGGCCTGGAAGAGGGGCAACCGGGACAGAATCTGGTGCCCCGACCGGGACTAGAACCTGGTGTGCCGGCGCCGCAAGGCGGAGGATTAGCCTAGTGAGCTTCGGCGCCGGCCCTGGCTCCTGGCTTTGAATTGGCACTGCACGACGGCCGCAATGCACCAGCTGTGGCAGCCACGTGGGGGGTGAACCAACGGAAAAGGAAGATCTTTCTTTCTCTCTCTCTCTCACTGTCTAACTCTGTCAGTGCAAAAAAAATTGTATGTTTAAATAATATTAACATTCTACACCTTTTTCAACCCCAATGGTATCCTACTTTGTTTGACAAATTAGATAGCAACTCTAGAAAGGATGGAAGCCAGATCAGAGAAGCTCTATTACAACTCTGCATTTCATCTTAAGATTCTACTTCTTAATTTATCAACTTAAACACCTGCTGTTCAATTTAAGTACTAAATTTAAGTCCAAGTTAATGAATTGATCTCTATTTGTGTAATAATTGAAGGTTTTCTGCATGGTAATTTGCAAGGGATTAAAAGGGAGTTTGAAAACTCCCACTAACTGAAATACATTAGAAATAAATCATAAAATTATTTAGATTGACAGCAATTATTCCTTATTAATAGTGTTAGCAGCATCAAAGCTTTTTATGGTTCTAATAAAATGTAATAAGTATTTTATTTTTAGAATCAAATACAAGATGTAAAAAATATGAAACAGCAAACAAAGAAAATAATGAGATTATGTGGAAAAAATACAAAAATCTTTCAAAGGCTATGGAATTAAATTCCAAAGAGTAAAATAGTCTGTAATTTCGAATACTTTAAAAGATGTGGGCTAAAGCTAAACACTCGAGTTTTTTTTATAGAAAACATTTATTTAATAAATATGAATTTTGAAAGAACACTAGAGTTTTGTGGTGATAGTTTTAGCGTTTACTTTTGGTGTTTAGGTTTATACCATCCCTTGCCTTTTAGTAAGCTCAATTATACATCTCTGTAATTTTTTTAAAGATTTATTTTACTTATTTGTAAGGCAGGGTTAGAGAGAGGGAGAGAAAGAGAGACCAATCTTCCATTCATTGGTTCACTCCCAAAATGACTACAACAGCCATGCCTGGGGCAGGCTGAAGCCAGGAGCCAGAAGCTTCATCCGGGTCTCCCACATGGATGCAGGGGCTACAGGACTTGGGCCATCTTCTTCTGCCTTCCCAGGTGCATTAGCTGGGAGCTGGGTTGGAAGCAGAGAAGTTGGGACTTTATCTGGCGCCCATTTATGAGACACCGACATTGCAGGCAGCAGCGGCAGTGGCTTAATCCATTATGTCACAACGCTGGCCCCCATGATTTTTAAAGTAAAAATACCTTCCAAGCACTCCAATAAAAGTCATTGTATTATGTCTGCTAATACAAGAATTATTTCACAATGAAAGATAAAGGGAAAGGAATAACTCTTGTTAGCTGGGTGGAGGGAGGGTTGAAATGAGGTAGAAAGCCAAATTAAAAAGGCACTTGGGACAGACATTTGGCCTGGTGGTTAAGACGTGGATTGGAACATCCACAGCCCACATCAGAGTACCTGTGTTTCAGTCCTGGCTCCACTCCAAATTCCAGTTTCTTGCTAATGCAAACCCTGTGAGACAGCAGATGATGGCTCACGTACGAGTCCCTGCCATGAACATGGGCGACCTGAATTGAGTTCCTGGCTCACCCCTAGCTGTTGCAGGAACTTGGGGAGGGAACCAATGGATGGGAGATATCTCTTTCACTGTCTTTCAAATAAATAAAATTTTTCTAAATAAGAAAAAAGCTCCTAAAAACAGGCATTAATAATACAATTTTAATATTTCTACTTTCTCCTTGAAAAATTGCAGATGTGGCATTAATATGTTAATATATAATTAATATATTAATATATTATTCCTATTTTCCAAAAAGCATGTGAAATACTAATATAGTCATAAACTCATAAAATATACATAGGCTGGTGCCATGGCTCACTTGGCTAATCCTCCGCCTGTGGCGCCGGCACCCTGTTCTAGTTCTGGTTGGGGCGCCAGAGTCTGTCTCGGTTGCTTCTCTTCCAGTCCAGCTCTCTGCTGTGGCCCAGGAAGGCAGTGGAGGATGGCCCAAGTGCTTGGGCCCTGCACCCGCATGGGAGACCAGGAGGAAGCACCTGGCTCCTGGCTTCAGATCAGCACAGCACGCTGGCCGTAGCAGCCATTTGGGGGGTGAACCAACCAAAAAGGAAGACCTTTCTCTCTCTCTCTCTCTCACTGTCTAACTTTGCCTATATATATATATATATATATATATGAAACTCTGCCTATATATATACATATAATTTTGACCAGGAAATAGCTGTGCCACCATAGCTGTTATCTACTATGTCCACCCTTTTTCTGAGCATTGGGAACCAGCTGAATGGGCACTGCAAACCCACTGACATGGCTAGCCATTTAAAATGCATTACGAAGCAACCAAGTGGAAAATGCCATCAATTCTGGAAGATTTTCACAGCTAAACAATCCAGAACAAGGACCAGGAACACAGTCAGCCAATAACAAATGTTGCTCAGTTTTCTATATGTTGTAATTGAAGCAATTTAATTTTGTTTAGAAATGTTGCATAAATTAGTCAGATAGAATATTCTTGGCATGAATATCTACATTTTCCAAGTTATAAAGGTACAGAAATATGATTCCCATTTTCTCCAAGAAAGTATATTTATGACAGTGTGTTTGAACCTGGATACTGATATCACAGATAACAAGTAAAGGAAGTCAGAATGTCAAAAATAAAACATAAGTGGCATTAGAAAGGTAAGAGAAAGATTTTCTATGGGCCAGCATCATGATGTAGTGGGTTAAGCCGCTGCCTGCCATGCCAGTTTGTGACCCGGCTGCTTTACTTTAGATCCTGCTGCCTGCTAAAGAGCCTGGGAAAACAGTGGAAAATGCCCCAAGTGCTTGGGCCCCTGCATCCATATGGGAGATCCGGAAGAAGTTTCTGGCTACTGGCTTTGGCCTGGCCAAACCTCAGCCATTATGGCCATTTGGGGAATGAACCAGTAGATGGAAGATCGAAATTTCCATCTCTCTCTCTCTCTCCCTCCCTCCCTCCTTCCCTCCTTCTCTTTCTGTAACTCTGCCTTTCAAAAAAATAAAGAAATCTCAAAAAAAAATTTCTAGTAAGAAATACAAAATAAAAAAGTGTTATCAGATCTACATCTAAACAGAGTATAACATTCCAAGTGGTCTTTGGATAAAATATAAAAAGGAAGGCATTCTATATACAGGCACAGGAGAGCTGAGATTGTGACTCAGAATTAAATGCACTCCAGCAAGGGACTATTAACACATGTAGAGCTCACCTGTCCAAATTAAACTATACAAGCACACATGAATACTTAACATCCAGAACAACAAACTAACATCAATTATCAGACTACAGACTGACATGGGGGCTAATGGTGACAAAGTAGCTCAGTAACAAGCTAGTAATGGGAATATCAACCTTTACTGGGCCTTGCTGGGTAACAGGTCTTGGGATACACATACATATATTCTCTCACTTACTGTTTCCTACTACCTCATGGCATAGGTATTGTTATCATCATCTTCAATTAATTATGCAAAATGGTCACAGAGGTTAAAGAATTTGCTACTCATAGCACAGCAAAAGTGGTCACATTTTAGCTGCATGAGTCAGACAGCACTGTGAGTCCAGATGCACAGTCTTAGCTGCTACTCTACAGTATCTAACAAATGTTCTACAAGCTAAGAAACAGACATGCTGATTGACTCCTTCAGAAATATACCACATGACTCTACATAGTCCTGCTGTTATCATAAGCAGTTTTAACCTTTTTATTTTATTTTATTTACTTTCCACATAAGCTCTAATATTCCATTACTAATGAGAAACACATTATAGAAAATTTAGAAAATATAGAATAAGAAGCCATTTATTGGACTTCAACAAATTTTTAGTTGAATTTAAAATGTATTATGTAGTAGATAAACAGTAACTTTATTTCATGGATCATTAAGAAACTCATCATCCTGTCAAAGGTAATTAAAACAAAAACTTACCACTATTTTGGCTAAGATGCCATCATCACTTGCATCTAAGGTAACCACAGCTTTGTCAGTTTCAATTTCACATAATGCATCTCCGGCACTCACAGCTTCACCTACAAAACAAGACTGCATTGGTTTCTGGCTTTCTTTAAAATATCAATATTAAAACATGTGAATGTGTAAAACATGACTAAATATCAAAATATTCTATAGTTGCACAAGTAATTCTCATTACATGTGTGTGTTTATATTTGTGCATATACACAGGCTTTGTTGTATTTTCCCAAAGCTCTACAATAGACATAAATCATATTTGTTACAATTAAAAAGCTATTACAAAGATTATTGAGCAAATATTAAAGTGAAATCAAACTTTACAGACAATAGCAACAAATGCACATCCTCCTGAAACAAATCAGTTGCAGATCCCACATTGCCCGCCTTCATTAATACTCTTTGATTATTCTCCCATGAAAAGTAGTATAACAATTCATAGCACTTCTGGGCTAACACCTTAGGGCAAGTTCAGAAATCCTCACACAGCATTAATGAATAAAGCATGTGAAGCATAAAAAGAAAAAAAAATCAAAGACACAGTAAAATCAAATAAGGACTAGTTCTATGCAACAGAAAAAACATGGAAATTCAAAAATAATGAGCAAAACCTGAAGCTACAGACCTACTGCTTTCTGGATCTAGAAACACATTTGTAAAGAGGGTGAGAAAACATACAGTGGTTTCCCTTAGGCAGCGAGGAAAAACAACTGAAAGCAACCTGCTGGAGGCAAGGTTGACACAAATCAAATTCACTACTAGAAGGTAGGGCAAAGTCAGAATTCTTCCACTCACACTATAGCCTGCTAAAATGGGTACCCAAAAGCTGCTGACTAGGGCTGGCACTGTGGCGTCACGGGTAAAGCTGCCTGCCACCTGCAATGCCGGCATCCCATGTGGGCGTCAGTGCAAGTCCCAGCTGCTCCACTTCCGTCAGGCTATCTGCTATGGCCTGGGAAAGCAGTAGAAGATGACCCAAGTCCTTGGGCCCCTAAACCCATCAGGGAGACCCAGAGGAAGCTTCTGGCTCCTGGCTTTCGAATTGTGCAGCTCTGGTTGTTGTGGCCACATGGGGAGTGAACCAGCAGATGGAAGACTCTTTCTCTCTCTGTAACTCTTTCCAAATAAAATAAAATAAATCTCCAAGAAAAACGAAACAAAAAAAAAAGAACCTGCTGACTGAGACTGGGGTTTTAATCAGAAACTGTAGGTATGGGAAAGTGGAGACAAAAATACTTTTTCAATACCAGGAACAGAGCCAAGCCACCCTTTGGCTCTAAGAATGTACCTGTATTAATAGCAAAATCTTGGGTAGGTTGGGACGGGTAGGAGGGAAGACAGTGAAACAAAAAACAAAACCTTCCATTCAAAAGTAAATTGCAAAACAAAATCCTGAAATCGAATGCTAAGAAATCAAACCACAAAATCCATAATTGGGACAGAAATTGATTTTAAAAGCAATTCATTTGGTGTAATCTGCTAAGGATTGTAAAATGCCTTGAGGATGTTCAAAAATATAAATTAAGGTAAAAGAGTCATTATAAGAACAAGAAAATTTTAAAAATGGAAAGAAACGAAATAAAATAGTATTAGGTAGAAAGAAAAACACTAATTGGAAAACTTGAAAATGATAAATTAAGTCTCTGAAATAAAATGCAACAACCAATGGGATATACCCTAGATTGGACACAGCGAAAGAGGGAATTAGTAAGTGAAAGGTAGCACCAAGAACTACCCAAAGCTTACCACAGACAGACAAAAAGATAAAAAATGGGAAAAAGCAGTAGTAAGTGACACAGATTGAGACTACAGTGTTTGTTTCATGGATTTCCAGGAGAAGAGACTGGAGGGATTAGTGGAGAAACAATACCTGAAGAGATAATTGCTGAGCACTTCCCAGAATTGGACATAAATACTTTTCTAGTGAAAGAGTTCTGAATGAGTCCACAACAGGAGAACTAACTAGGAGAAGGCAGAAGGGAGCCTGTGGCTTGCTAAATCTTCATCTAAGTGGTGGCAGCACACCCATATACGTATGTACATAAAAACTGAGCTTACACTTTGTGCAAGTCATACTTTGACAAAAAATTAAGCAGGGAAAAAAAAGAGTATTAGATTGCAGAAACATGAATCCACGTTAGAGACAGTATAGAGGAACTGTATACTATCAACCATAAAAACACAATTTTAAAAGCTATCATAGGAAAAAAACAGATTACCTCAATGGAATGAGACTGAGAGCACACTTCTCAGCAGCTGCAATAGAGGTCAGAAGATAATGAAGCAACATCTTCAAACAGCTGAGGAAAAATAACTGCTACAATTTTAAATGCAGCCAAACCATCACTTAGGAATCAAAGTATTTTTTAGACACATAAAGGTTATGAAATTTACCTACTGACAGACACATAAAAGAGCTCTTATAGGAGACAAGTTCATCAAGAAAACTGGACACAGAGCGGGATACAAGAAACCAGTTTTACATAAATTGCTAAACTGCCATCCATTAACCATTTAAAAGGCATTGTTTGAGGGTTTAAAAAAGTATAAATTTCAAAGTCTAAAAAGTAGTAAGCTAGATAAAGGAAATGTTTAGGTGATAAGTAAAGCAAGCTAGCAACTTTGATATAATTTGAAGAAAATTTCTGAATAGACTTTATTTGCAAAATTTGATTTAAAATTTTAAAAACAGAAATATTCATATAACCTACAGCAGTTGAAAAAAAAAAAGCAGAGGAAAAATAAAATGAGCATCTAACTGAAAGCAGACCCAAAAAGAAAAAATGCAGAAAGTAGAAAGAGAAATGCACAAAAGCCCCAGCAGAAATAAGTCCAAATGTATCAATCACAGTAAATATAAATATAAACTCATCCAATTAAAGCAGAGGTATCAGCACGAATACAAAAAGAGAATCTGGGCAGATATAGTTTAAATGATATAGACCTAAAACAAAAGCAGAATAAAAATAAAGGAGTAGAAAAATGGGTAACATTATAGATACACCTCCTTATACACACTCCTAAAATGGCTTATATTAACAAGTGAACACAGTAAGAGAATATGAAGGAAAATCTGAAACACTAAGACAGTTAACAGGCGCTCCAAGTTCACTGTACAGAAATGTCATCGGACACCACCATTACATACTATATGCTGTTAAAATAGTTCAGAGCCACCAATGTAAGTGAGAATAGAATTTCTCTGATATTTATTGCTTATCTAACAGGTACCACGTGTAACCCCACAGATATGTCCCTAATCAATAAACAGTTATTGAAACTGTCTTGGAGGCACTGAAGATACAGAAGTGGAAAACAACAAATGCAACAATCAAAGATTTCTGACCTCAAGAAACTTTTACATCCAGTGACAAATAACCTGGAAATTATAACAGAATGAGGTGAAGGCAGGATGCTGTGGTAGCATTCTTAAGGGTCCCTCTGATTCAGATTTGTGGAGGTGAGGGAAGGCTTTCCAGAATGAAATGGCATCTAATCTGAGCCCGGAAAGATGAGGATGAGACAATCAAATAAAAGGGCAGAGATCCAGGGAGAAGGTAACACTCATAGCCCTGGTGGCAACGAGGACATAAAGCTGGCAGTTGTCCAAGAGAGATGTGAGAGAGATTAGGCTGGTGAGATAAGCAGGAACGTGTTGTACAGAGAAAGCCACATTACATAATCTTACATACTTCTTTGTATGACAGATGTTTCAGTAATTAAAACAGACTGCATTCAAAAGGAAGAAAAGTCCACCTTTTTTTTTAATCCTGTTTTAACCCTGGGAGAAACACTTGCGGTAGAGAATCTACCGGTTAAATACTTCTTAGTTACCTAGAAAATAAATTTTGGCCACAAACAGAATAAAAAAAATTTTTTTTTGTCATTTGTGCTAACCCACATTCAAATTCCAACCAGTTTAAGAACCACCTACAAATTCTATTTCAGCCACATCAACTTCTGCTGAGCAACTCAGCCTGCACGATTACCCCCAAATTCCTACAGTACTCATAATTATTCTGGAAAGAACTATAAAACATTACTCTGATATTGTTAATTATTTCTTCAAGGCTGGGTTTTCCGCTGTTTAGTGGACTGGCTTCTTCACAAAGGGCACACCTGAAACATCTCATAACCCACTCCCACTAGCTGCAGCTCAGGTCAGTGCCCCACACTTCATGATTTTTAGGTCAAAATGCCTTGGGAACAAATTGCAGTAGTTTCACAGCCCCTTATTTCCTCATAGGATATATATCAAACTGACCTGTATATTTCTTTTGGTCCAACATTTAATTTGTAGCATACTTCTAATATTTAAAAAGATAGGCAGCCATTTTCCCTTAATTTTAAAAACTACAGCTTTATCTCTTCACATTATAGACATATACATTAGCTAAAAAAGAATGCAGAGAGTGAAGCAACACAGAGAAACATCTTGTCATGTGGTAATCTTTACCCATGAACTACAATCAAATTTAAAACATAGTATTATTATATATGGAAGCATAATACCTAATTTATCACAAAGCTAAGGTTCCATCAATAAACAGGCAGTGGGTAGCTGGCCTAGCGGTTACAACACTCATGTCCTAGGCTGGAGTGCCAAGGTCAACTGCTGGCCTCTCTCTCTGGCTTCCTGTTAATGCAAGACCCCAAGAGGTAGCAGCGATGGTTCAATTAGCTGGGTCCCTGTCGTCTACCTGGGAGACTCGGACTGAGTCCCTGGTTCCTGCCTTTGGGCACACCCCAGCCCAGGCTGCTGTGAGCAGGAGAGTGGATAGGCGCTCTCTGTTTCTACCTCTCTACCTCTCAAATAAATAAAAATAAAATCAAAGACAATGAAGATGGAAACAAGAAACTTAATACTAAATAATCTACTTGGTTTCAGCTGGGATCAACAATTTAGCATTGTAAATTAGAAGGGCTGCCTGACACAAAGATTACAAGGAATCATTCCCAACTCAGACATGAGTTTGATTCCAAACTCTGACACTTACTAGTGATCGTGAACAACTAATTACTTAGTCTCTCAGGAAGAACTTAAATGTGTATATAAAAG